ACTTCTGGTATACCGCCAGTTAAGAATACCCTGCAAATGACTAGCTCAATTATTAGAAATGCTGAAAGCATATTTCTCAACCCGGCAGACGAACCAGAAGTATTCAGAACATTTATGAGTCTTAAGAATAGCAGTGCATTAGATATTGACAATCTTCAGATCGGTCCCATAAAATTTGTTTTAGAGCATTTAGCCCCTGTACTTGTGTACATATTTAATTTAGCAGTAGAGTCCGGGGAATTTCCCCGTGAAATGAAGCGCTCTCGTGTGTCTGTTCTGTTTAAAGGTGGCGACAAAAACATGCTGGGAAATTATCGCCCAATATCGATTATTCCGGTGTTTGCTAAGGGTTTCGAAAAAATGCTACATTCCAGATTATCCAACTTTTTCACTAGAAGTGACATTATAAGCGACGCTCAGTTTGGTTTCCGTAAAGGAAGGTCTACGGAGTTAGCTTTGTTAAGGCTAAAAGAAATTATTTTAGAGAACATCGAAAACAGGCTATTTACATTAGGTTTGTTCATTGATTTCACCAAGGCTTTCGATTCCATTGACCATAGCACGTTACTTCTTAAGTTAGAAATCTATGGTGTTCGAGGCACTCCCCTGGCTTTAATAAAATCATATTTAGCAGAACGATCACAATGTGTGTGTTTAGGTAACCATCACTCATCTTCATTGCCTGTCAGTAGAGGTGTCCCGCAGGGAAGTGTATTAGGGCCCCTTCTTTTCAATGTTTTTATAAATGATATTGTTAATATCAACAAGTCGGTAAAATTTATAATATATGCTGATGATGCCACGGTCTTGTTCTCCGGCGCAGATACAGATAGGTTGATAGAAAGTTGTAATCGTTTCTTTTGCAATATTACATCATGGTCACTATCAAATAAACTTAAAATTAACCCTAAGAAAACGAAGGTTATAATATTTAGAGCTAGAAATAAATTTCTGAACGTTAAACAAGATATTATTTGTGCAGATCAAAAAATAGATATTGTAGAAGAACATAAAATTCTCGGTGTAACATTTTCATCTCATCTAAGTTGGGACTCTCACGTAAGTCATTTATGCAAGAAACTTTCTTTTACAGCGGGAGCTCTGTCGCGTTGTCGAGAAATTCTCCCTACACAAATAAAGTCAGCATATATCAAGCACTGTTTCAATCACATATAAGTTACTGCAGTCTGGTTTGGCTTACTACAACTCAACGCAACATCAACAGAATATTGGTTTTGCAGAAGAAAGCTGTCCGTCACATTGCCAACACTGGTTATTTATCACCGACATCGGCATATTTTCGCAAGTACAGTATAATTAAAATCCAATATATGTACGAGTTCCGTATCCTACGATCATTTTACATATGTTCTTCTTCATTTAAACAATTTATCGAGTTAACTGCTGCACTGCAACGCAACAGTCATGCTATCAATACTCGTAATGTAGGAGGATGGCTCATACCGCGCTTTCGCACTGACTATAAACTGCAGTCATTGAAATATAACCTCCCATGCATTCTTAAAAAGCATAATCATTTACATAAACCTGCGCTAAATACATTACGTGAAATATTTCTGAATTACTAATGTATTTCAATTATTTGTTAATGTTGTACTACATTTCACTGTATATTGTTGTATATGATTAGCTATCATGCTTTCTATTATTATATTGTGTTGATATTAGTGTTTCGTGTAGTTTACTGCTAGAATTACAGGTGTACTATTGCTTGTACTATTACAGGTGTACTATTGACTGTGTTCCTTGTACTTGTAGTATTAAAAATTTCTTTTCTGTAAATAAATTTTGGTATTTCTGTTGGTCTTGTTCGTTGTTAGAGATGTGTTTTAGTCAAAAAATCATTCCCTGTTACGCTTACACAGATATTGTTATATGCTTTGTTTTTGTAAATATTTTTGTACAATGTGTGATATATCTTGCAATTTGGTGCAAATATTTTTACCGGTCACTTGTTGCCATGTCATTGGTCTTCTGGGCCCTAGTCAAGCTGTTTCATTACAGCTTTTAGCCCAGGAGACCATCCAGAATGTAATGTTTTCGTTTATTCTGGAAATAAAAGAAATAATAATAATAAAAAATAATAATACTCCCAATGAGCTCCCAAAGCGTCACCAAGGTAAGTAGCTGCGTAGATTCGAGCGTTGCTTTATGTACGCGTGGTGGGCCCTTTGTCGAGTCGAAAAATGAATGATTATGGCGTAAATGGCACTTAGCAACTGTACTCGCAGTACAAATTTTAAAACGGCTTGGCCAATTTCGCGCGCACGGTCTTCTGTTTCCTAGGGGCACGGTTAAGGCATGTACCAAAAACCGAAGCCAGGCTGAAAATTGAGAAGGCTATGCGCATGGTGCCCTGCTATATACGCTATCACGTCCTCCAATTTTTTTATTCATTGCATGCAACATGGAGCTCTCACTATACATACAGGTAGAAATAAAGGTTGTTGCTAAAGACGTTGCAATTATGATGACTACCTGGTGCGCAAGCAAACGTCCGGCAAGAAAATTGAAAAGTTATGGGTGAGACAACTAATGCTATCTGCTATTCAATTAGTGTATTGCAGGGAACGTAATTTCCTTTCGCATTGAACTGCCCGAAAAGAAGGAAATTATATTTGTTGGCCCTCCCTGCTTGGCCTTAGACATGAACCGGGACATCCTTGGTTCATGTCACCTAAACACCCTTGGTACACGCATAAAGGCGTTTAAATATTCAGTGCGGCCATACTCGTGTAATTTATGAAGTTCCCCTCAGCGGCATGTGGGTAGCTTCGATACGTAGGGCAGAAGGGGCGTCGTACGATAATCACGCGTTAATCGAGTATAAAAGTTCGATAAAAGGAGGAAAACAATCTGACTTTTCGTTGCACTGCCACAGTTACAAATATGAATAGAAAATTCATGTATGAGTAGTTTCATACATGCACGAAAACAAGGCTTACGACTGAGGCTTGGAGTATAAATATTAGCCATCGAAGTGCGTACGCGGAGTCTACAAGTGGGAAGAGGGGGGCTCGTTGGTAGTTTCTGCGCTGACGACAAAGAAAAGAAAACGCATTGGGATGCTATTCGGCGCACTGTCGTACTCTGCGATAATTTCAATTTCCATAACGGAGGCATTTTAGGGGCGAAGCTTCTTATAGCGGCACCCGCTCGTCCCCCGTAGTATGTAACAAGTATAACATTTTGACTTCCAAGGTGGTGCCGGTGAGAGACTTCTTCTGCGCGTTGTTGAACAATAAAAAATAGTGCTCAATGTACATGCCAATGGCTGCTAATGGGGAATGAGGGACAGGAGCATTTGGCTTTTAGTTAACGCGCAGGCTGCGATCACCATTAGCAGCCATTGGCATGTACATTGAGCACTATCTGACAAGAAAGGGTGGCTACGTTATACTCGCTGGGTGTAACCTCCTTAGCTTTAGAAAGTTTTTGCGAGCGTTGAGCCGCAGTGCCATGAATACAATGAACTTGTATATACCATGAATGAACTCGAGGTGGTTAAAGGTGACAAGTGGACCCGAAGTGCAAGCCGTAAGAAAGTGTGCGTGTGCCACCTCTCGTTTAGTCCTTGGAATGTCCGTTGGATGGCGGTGCTCCTATATGGGGAATATATGATGAAAAGATGCGAGATGTGGTACTTGGAGTGTTGAATAGATGGACGAACGGACATATAGACAGATGCATGGATGGACGCATGAACGGACGCAGGGGCGGCTGCATGGACGAACGCAGGGACGGACGCACGAACAGACGCACGCACGGACGGGCTGATGGACGGTCACACTGACGAACGCATGGACGGACGAAAGCAAGAGCGAATGGACGGACGAATTCTTCGCCCCACTCTCCATCATTCACTCCGTGGATATGCTGCCATTTTTTTAATCCAATCAGATAGGTCATAGCAGCGCACTTGGCCAATCAGAGTTTGCCACGGGCAGAATCTGACAACATGGTGGCGTCTGGCAATGTCTAGAATAACACCTCTTGGTCTCTTCCTTTCGTTGTCCCCGTCTTCACGAGCACTAAAATACCGCATCCATGCGTGAACCAACGTCTAATTACCTGGCAAAAAAATGGCATGTTTGAACTTATCCATCGCTTAGACCCACATGCCATCATCAGCGGTAGGTGGTTATGCCATTCCTGGGGGCAAATTAGTTTTGTGTCCGCCTTCTTTTCCGCTACAGTGCAAACTTTCAGTTGACAGTCGGCGTTCCTTCTCTCTACGTTTGTGTCTCTTAAGTACTCTGTTAGAATGCTGCACTTTCTTCTACATGGTATATACTATCACAAAGATATAAGCAGTAATAACCAGCAGCAGTGCCCAGATTGCTGTGTCCCGGCTATGATCGGTCGAAGGCCATCCTTGATTGGGAAGAGAGGGTTGTGGAGGACTATCTGTGTAGCAACCTCGGAACCTTCATCCATCATCATTTAAAAATAAAAAATGCAGCTTTTTGTTACCTACCTACCTTTGGGCGGGTCAGTTTTTGAGCGCCAATCTGCCAATTCCACGCCCAACCACACGACAGTAGGAAGCCTGGCTTTCTAGCGTATAAGTTGCCGGACCAGCTCGATCTGGTTGTGAGAGCGCTCATGGATTCCTGGATTGAGGACCTCACCCTCAATCGTGGTCGAACCTGCTACCTTCGAATAACGTGTTCGATGAGCATCGAACGCGTTATTCGAAGGTCACATGTTTGGTTCCTGCGCATGGCAAGTTATCTTTTCATCCACTTTTCTTTCTTCACATTTACATTAGAATTAGGTATAATAAATAAATAAATAAATAAATACCTTCCCCTATACTTTCCTTACATTATTGCATTATTGTGTATATATATATAATATGGCGGGGTGAAATTCTGGCGGTGGATGAAAGATGATTTTCAAAAATAAAGAGGGAAACGTCTTAGATGTTTTCAGGTTGGAACTTTGTTCAGAATTGTATGCCAATTAATATCATGATCGCCATCACCAAATGGAACTGTTTATTACATGTAAATCATCTCTCTTCAACAATTCCTCGCTGGTGAGCAAATGATTCCAGTCTAGAACCTTAGACTTAATCAACGGAACTTCATGTAAGTCATGTAATGAGTTTCTTTTGTAAGACATATAGAGCGACCGGCAGCCGCAGTGCGGAGTAACACCTATAGATCGAGCATGTTTAGATAAACATTTGCCCCGCGGACAAATGGAGTGCGCGAAGTCGTTATCTACGTGGAGGGCGGCTGCACGTCCTCGTTACGCAGAGGCTTGAACAGTTGCCTCGTGAACTGGAAGGCGTCGTTGGCAGACTTGCCCACGTTGTCGCCAGACCCTTCGGCAAACGTCTGCAAGCGTGAGGCCGCGTTGTTGAAGCTCAGCGGGAAACCATCAGCAACGCGCTGGAACTCGCTTCCTGCAAAAAACAATCTCCTTGAACGACCCTTTCAGTCACTGTCTCCTTTACGTAGGTGCCGCATGTTTTCGAACTTTCGATTGATTGATTGATTGATTGATTGATTGATTGATTGATTGATTGATTGATTGATTGATTGATTGATTGATTGATTGATTGATTGATTGCAGTTAGTGAGGCAATGTTCTGGGTGCGATACAGGAACAATGGTCATACAAGCTTTGCAACTAGGGCTGAAAGCTGAAAATGTAGTGGTTGAAAATGGTAGCGGTAGCCCTCAGCTGAACAAAAAAAAAACACATAAGCTGTTTTCGTACAGCGAGTAATGCAATACGAAAGTTATTAGGACGTTCACTATACTCCATTTGAAGAAAGGCTTCATCTTGTCGTTTTGTATGTTTTGCAACTTAACGAACAGTGATGTGGTAGACGCATGTGTGGGAAAACAGTTGGGTTGGTGAATGCGACGTTCCACGACCGCGTTCATTCACGCGGTCATATATACAAAAACTGAAAAAAACATTCGTTTAACAGCCCAAGATGGCGGCACGCGCCTGTCTTACCTGAAATTGTCTATGGGGACGTAAAGTGTAGTATATTGGATAATGGAAGGAAACGCGGGCGGTTTAGTGCCATTACTTGTCTGCTTTCCGCATTTAGTTTCATCTCGCGCTTACCTCGATGGTCATAAAAGGACGCTAAGGTCGTGCTTGAATACATCAGAGATAAATGTGTATTATCAGACAGCTTAGAACATCGAAACACGTATAGATGCCACACTGTTCGCCTTTTTTTTTTCATCGCGGTATAGTACGTGTCAAAGTTCAGAGGCGAGGTATATAGCATGCAAGCGCCGACGGCTTACCGACTGATCTGAAGGCATCCAGGAGTCCACCGGCGGAAACCGGTGGCCTGTCTCCCTCTGGCGCCGCTTCCTTGGCAGGTGCAGCCGAGGCTGCTGTTACCAGCAGAGCCGCGCCAACCAGTGCAATCACGTAGCGATTCATTGTAGAAACTTGACGTAGGTGTTCACCACAACACAAGAAGGTTCTGAAAAGCACCCAGAAAGAACCGTTCCTTCGCGAGAGCACACTTGCTTTTTCATTAACTGTGATATGTTAGCAGCATATCTATTTGATCATATACGCATACGTTTCTACAAAGACGACGCTCCTATAATCAAAACCGATTGTCATGTCCGTCTTAGTTTTTGATCTGTTTGCTTATGTAATCCAACCTTAATGTCCCGAAGACTGTTCTCTTTAGCTCTCATGACTGTTTGGTATTTACAACTGGAAATGTCGACTGCTCTAAGAGAGAGAGAGAAACGAGAAATAAGGAAGGCAGGGAGGTTAACCAGATGCTAGTATCCGGTATGCTACCCTACACTGGGGTTGGGGAATAGGGGGTTGAAAGAGAAAGGGAGAGTAAAAAATAAATAAGAGAAAAGATTCTTCTAAACACATCAATCCCGAAACGCTGACGTTATGTGATCTTGTAACTATAAGTTTATTTGGCTTCTATAAATATAAAATTTGCATAAACATAAGCCAGGTGACCTCATACCAGCGTGCATAAAGCACGTTATTCCTAATGATACATTTTTTTTTATTTCACAATGTGTTTTCCATCGGCTTTCATGCATCTTCTTTATGTAGCTTGGAGTTGGACCGATCAGTAGACGTGCGCCCTGAATCTGTGAGCTGTATTTCCCGACAACTGAATTCTAGGAGGGGCGCGTGGTCATTCTATAGACGAAACATCAATCTGTATGTAATATACTTCACGCACCTGCGCGATGCCGTTACCACTTCATACAAAATGGCTGAAATATAAAAGTGCGCCCCAGCCTCAGCTTTTCCGTTTTCGCATAGTATCGGCGATCAAGAAGGACTTTCTGTTCGGATGAACCTCCCTTTCTATCTCCTTTCTTTCGCAATATCTATTCAAGAAATAAATTTTCACGCATGGCCTGTTTACATAAAAAAAATGGCGCGTGTGATTACGTTGCAGAAAAAAAAATCTGCTCAAGAAACCTAAGCTCACTCAAATATCGTTGCTTTATTTAGGCTTGCTCTCGAGCTCGCACAGAAAAAAAAACATATAAAAGATAGAAAGCAATGGAAGACCTCGTTTTCCACCTCGGACTACGGCGATCAACTTTTCAGCATGTTCTTCTTTCTTTTTCGTTTTACTGAATAGAGATGTTATTTTGCTTTAGTCTTGTTCACGTATAAAATATAGCACGTTTTGTATTGCTGTTTTGTATTTTTCATGTTGCAACCCGTTCCCCTCTGTAATGCTTCGGTGATTGAAGGTGACAAAAATAAATAAATAAATAAATAAATAAATAAACTTCAAGCAATTTGGCAAGGGCGAATGCCGCCAGGGCACAAGAACTCCTGTCCGTCAGCTAAGAAGGTCTTTTTTGTTTAACTTATTTGCTACACTGAACGTCTGTCCAGAAGGTAAAGATAACCACAATGTAGGTCCTGTCGCAACTACTGCCAAAAATGACGTCAAAGCCAGCACCGGTGCGACCTTGGCCTATATATTGTCGCGAGCTCACGGTATCTTGCTATGGTCATATATGCACGGAAATACCAGATGCGTATCAATCGCATGTGAGAGCCAACGTTAGTGGTCGCCGCCTCCATCGGCATGACAATTAGGTGTTGATATTGGTAATTCGGTATCAGTAATCGCCTTTTAACAATCTACTTTTTGCCAGCCATTATAACTTTTTTCATTGACGTTGTCGGTATTCGAATTTCATTACTTTGTCGCAAAAGCAACGTATATTGAGCAGCAACCAGTGCCTGCGTCGAATTATTGTTAAGATTAAAGGAATCTCTAATTGTATGAATCCATATAAGTCCATATAAGTATGAATCCATATAAGTATAGAAAGTCCATATAAGTGCGGATACATGAAGTATCTTCGTTCGGGCACCTCAGGAGTCACTTTATTATTCACTTCAAGATGAACGAGTCGAGTTTTACTTGAGACCTACCCTAACTTCTCTCGCGGAAAAAAATGCGATTCTTTTAAAGAACACTTAAACTCTCACACGTCCGAAGAATCAAAGTCGTACACCGACACAAAAGTTTCCAGTTGTCGCTTTTCTGCGTCGAATGAAAGGTCGGGACCTCAAGAGCCTAGAAAATGTTCTTGCTAAGCGTGAGTAAGCCCTGAAAATTATTTACAACGTGTTTTTAAAAGCTGATTTTTTTTACTACTGTACCCTGACGTCACGACGCAAACATGATTGTCTCGTTCCGTGCTCCAGCAAGATCTTGTGACGTTTAGTTTACATGGTCGCTCTCCTCCATGGCTCCATTAGGGACGCGCCAGGAGCCATTTTGCATGTTTTGACAGCTGACGTCATCACAACTAACCATCGTGGTGCATGAAGTCACCCAAATTGATACAGTAGCAGGCCGCCACGCTAGCGTCAATGCCGGTAGGCGCATCGTGCGAAAATTGACTTTAAGTGCTCGAGGTCATCTCTATACACAGGAGGTTTGTATGGCAAGCTAATCTAACCTTCGGAAATTGCTGTCAGTATACCCCTTGCAGACGGAGCGGCAATAAAGCAATAACATCACTCAGTACATTGCACAGTGTTGCACAACCATGCCCCGCCGAGGTGGTCTAGTAACTAAGGTACTCGGCTGCTGACCCGCAGGTCGCATCGAATCCCGGCTGCGGTGGCTGGATTTCTAATGGAGGCGGCAATGCTGTAGGCCCGTGTGCTCAGATTTGGGTGCACGTTAAAGAACCCCAGGTGGTCTAAATTTCCGGAGCCCTCCACTACCGGCGTCTCTCATGATCGTATGGTGGTTTTGGGACGTTAAACCCCATATATCAATCAGTGTTGCACAACCGCTACTCGATCACGTAAAACTGCCAATCCTTGTGCGAAAAACAAGGGCTATAATTGTCACCTTGCATACAAAGTCTCGAATCTTACGATGCACGATGACCTTGGTCTTCTGGACGCCACTCCCTTCCAGCGCGTGTCCCTCATCAAACGTACGAGTGTGTACGTTTAAAAGCAATCACGCGCGCTTTATGAAGGTGCATGCGTAGGGAACTCGCTTTTGGTAGTGTTCCAAAAAGGAAAGAAAAGTTCTATGCAACGCGTAAACCGGTGGTGTCTGTTTCCTTCTTCTCTAGACTGCTCCCGCAGTCGAGTAAGAAATATTCTACGTAGTTACGTTCGAGGAAGCAGCACGTTGGGCGGGCATCAATAAGCCTCAGGAAACTTACTTAAACGTACCTTACAACGCTAATGTTTGTTATATCCACATCGGCATCGCTGAGAGTCTTATTCACTATTACGGTCCTTCGGGCACGACATATATGGTTATTACATTTCTAACTTGCAGAAATTGCCTGATTTGTTCGGCGTAGTTATCTTTCGACTGATACCAAGCAATATAACAGGCGCTGGACATCCGCTAAACCACACACGATGCATTCAACTGGGTACGAGCGACCCTCTCAGCCGTAGAAGGACAACTTGACTACCGCTCCCTCGCAGAGAGCAAAATCCTGGGGCCCTGGTATGCCCGGTCGGCAGCACAAGCCTACCTGAGGGCTCTGTTGCGGTTTCTGCAAGCAACCAGACTGAACGACAAACTGTGACTGTTCGCGACATTGTTGCAGTGAAGTACTTGGACGGTGCTGCAGTCAATACTTTTTTCTTTCTTTCTTTCTTTCTTTCTTTCTTTCTTTCTTTCTTTTTTTCTTTCTTTCTTTCTTTCTTTCTTTCTTTCTTTCATTTTGTCTACTGTCACCAACTCCTCCTTCCTCTTTCATTCTTTTACCCCCATTTTTCTCCTTCGCAAGCACCAGGTAGCAAACCAGAGTCTTCCTCTGGTTAACTTCCCTGTCTGTCCATTGTCCTTCTATTTCTCTCTTTCGGCGAAAAAAATATCGTAGTGTGGTGTCTTCATTTTCAAAAAAAAAAAACTTCATCTTGTGACAGGTAATCTGCGGCAACTTGTGAAATCATGTTCTTTTTCTTTCTCCGGGTGTTCATCGCTGGTAATAATCTAGAAACTGGGCATAGAAGAATAAAAAAAAAGCATTTCCATGTTTCGCATCACATCTTGCGAGTCTGCCGATGTCATTACCTAATAAGAAATAAGCTTTAAGCGCATCCTTACTAACGAAGCCGGTCGTGCGAAATCTGCGAATAAGTAACCTTAAATGGCTAATGTGTAAACTTTGATTCACGTCTGGATTCATTATCTGCAAAAACATGACGTTTACGAAAGCACGACACGAAATAAAGCAATGATGTTCCACATATTGCGCATTCGCAGTGCTTTATGCTTTATCAATAAAAAAGTATACAACAATTGTAGTTAGAACCCTATAGTTGCATGCACTGCGTTCCGCACCAGGCTCTTTTATATACAAAGATATCCTTTGACATCAGCTATAGCTAGTAATCAGACAGCAACAAAGAAATAGCAACAACAAAGTGTACTTCATGAGATTTACTGGAAGCTAGACACTGAAACCTTTGATGTGTTTTCTTCCGCATTTAAAAACACACACACTAGACCATTTCTTTGTCGTGGCTGTGTTGTCAACTTCAATTATTGTAATGATGTCAGAAGATGTCAGCTGAATGGTGCAAGTTGGTTTTCATACGATGTAAGAATAATTGTTGTATGTTAATGTGAGATCAGAAGTATATATGTTGCAAATAGAAGTAATATATTCTGAGTACGAGTTTATGTAGAATGTTCTATTTACGCTTGAGTTTACCTACGCTGCTTTCGTGTAAGGATACGAATTATTATACACCCCTATGGGATGCCCAAAGTAGTAAATAATTGTGAAAGAACAAGTCACTGACAAAATCATCAAGACTTGTCTACACTGGAGCCGCGAATACTCACTTGGAGTCGCGAGCGAATGGGTGTCACCGATGCCTGCCTGCCTGCAAAATGTGCGCCTCGTCTACACGCGCGGTGCTGCCCTCTCAACTTTCTCACTCTTGTTTTATTCTATGGCGTTTTTTCTCTTCCAAGGCTTCTCTACGGGGAAGAAGCCGTGCGGCTATCTTGCTCCAAGCTCTCTCTCTCTCTCTCTCTCATTCCCAGTTACCTATCTCCTCCACTTGGTGACGTAAGCCGAAGCACCGGAGAAGCCGTACACGAGGAGTGACGTATTACGCGACACCTACTCCCGGAAAGGGTGCCTAGTCTATCAGCTTCCTGACCAGTCCAGTTTCGATTGGTAACACGCCGCTGTTGTCCGTTTTGTTTTCACGCTTTTAATGCGAGAAGGCCAGGCGCAAATAAAAAGAAAGTATCAAGGGCAGAGTACGTAAGCGTGGGCTCCGATGCTTCGAGGAAAAATCGCACCAAGCGAGTGTTATGTATACAGGCTGCGCACTCGGCTAAGATTAGCCGAGTGAACCCGTCAAGCTTCGCGCAAAGTTCCCTTGAACATTTATCGGAGCTGGCCTCGAGTAAGCGCACTTGTTATGCGCATTTTGCTCGCTCCGGTAGCTAGTTTGCCAGGCAGAGTAAAATTTGCCCTAGTGCTTTCGCGAAGTGTCGTACGTTTACTATCACTACAGCTGCGCCCCCACGGCTTTGTGCTGGTGCGCGCTTGTGAACATCATGATGACGATGATGATGACGATGGTGATGATGATGATGTCTAGGGTTTTAAGTCCTAAAACCACGGTATGACTATAGGGGATGCCATAGTGGAGGGCTGCGGAAATCTTGACTACCTGGTGTTTTTTAACGTGCACTCACATCGCACAGTACACGAGCCTCAACGATTTCGCCTCCATTGAAACGCGACCGCCACGGCCGGGATTGAACCCGTGACCTTCGGGTCAGCAGCCACTGCGCCACCGCGGTGGACCATCATGATGTCACTGTTGTGGCACTTTTGGATCTTGTTCATTTCATTTAATTTGCTTGTTTTCAACGCGTTTCATATCAAGGAAAAGAACGTGTAAGGTCCCCTGAGGCTGTCTGACAATGGCCCTACCACCCATTCACTGTACAGCAGCTGTGTCAACACTCATACAGTTACGCCCAACGTTCTAGTATCGTTGGTTGCGCTAGTGTAGCATTGACGTCCACCGAACGCAAATGCAAATTAACTAGTTAATTTGTTAATTTGTTAATTTGTTAGTTAGTTAGTTAGTTAGTTAGTTAGTTAGTTAGTTAGTTAGTTAGTTAGTTAGTTAGTTAGTTAGTTAGTTAGTTAGTTAGTTAGTTAGTTAGTTAGTTAGTTAGTTAGTTTTAATGTAAGAACAAACAACAAGTACCGTAAGACCGGCGGCACCTGCCTCATCCTACTCTCCACTTCCATAAAAATGAGTTCGCTGTGTGTAGTGCAGTTCGGGACGGGATGAGTCGATTATACGAACTGGGCCAACAAGGGCACTCATAATTTCTTGTTCGCATTCGATCGGCTCTACATAGTCGGGGTAGAGAGATGGGCGTAGTGGAATGTTTTCAAGGACGAAGTAGTAGGCAGTTAGCAAATGTGGACCTAGGCGGTCACGTACAGGTGCGATGAAAAGTGTGCAGACCACGGGATCGCGTGGCAGAATGCAACGACGCGCCAGCTGGCGACGAGACATGACGAGACACCTGCTGCAGGGCGCATGCGCGTCCCGTCATATCACTTGGCTTCTCATGTTGCTCTGTTGGACGCGGTTATACGGCGCTCGTTGACAAAACGACAACTGGGTGACACTTTCTTTGCTCCATCGAGTCTGTGCCTTTCTTTTACGTAGCGGCTGCGACAAGGCTGGTTCAAGCGCCGGCTCGTGTTGTTATTGATACCGGTTGATTAGGATAAGTAAGCATAGCGAGCATCGCACAACCTGACGAAGCCAAACGCACAAATTTAAATTTTCTCAGGTCAGATTGTCTTTGCCGAACTAATCCAAGTTGCTTAATTAAGTCAAAGTTAATGTAACCAATATTAATCAAATGTAGTCGAGCACATTATGACTTACATAAGTCAGGCATAAGTAGGTTTAGTTAAGTTCAGTGCAGCTTGGCGTTTTCGTGTTAAGCGAAGTTAGGCTTAGATGAGCCCAGATGAGTCAAAATGCGTATAGCCAAATCTAATTAGGCAAACTTGATCATGCTCATGCTTAACCTAATATGTGGGCTTTAACGTCCCAAAACCACTATATGATTATGAGAGACGCCGTAGTGGAGGGCTGCGGAAATTTTGACCACCTGGGGTTCTTTAACGTGCACCCAAATATGAGCACACGGGCCTACAACAGTACCGCCTCCATCGGAAAGGCAGCCGCCGCAGCCGGGATTTAATCCCGCGACCTGCGGGTCAGCAGCCGAGTACCTTAGCCACTATAGACCACCGCTGCGGGTCATGCTCATCCTTAACCTAGCCGTGCAAAATTAGCCTATACAAGGCAAACCTTATCGCGGCCAATTAAACTATGTCGACTTCCCCATGAGCTCACAGAAGTCAGATGTCGGGAAAATACTAATTACTCTTTACCGACTCCATGCTAATTTATATAAGTTATGACTAATTAGTGATAATTATCACGACTAATTATTATAACAAAGGATATTGGTCCGAAATACAATTAAAGTACCCTATATACTGGAATTCCACATGACACAATTAGGCTAAGTTTGCATAACTAACCTAATTAGGCAAACACCAAGGTAACTATAAAAATCTGATTAAGCTTGGTTCGTCATAGCATCAGTCAAACCAATTGGATTATAATAAGTTTCAATGAAGCAACATCTGAATTAAAGACAAATAATTAATGTAATTGAAGTCGAATCTTCATGAGCTCAGAGAATCGAAGCTCAGCAAGATGCTGAATTACTCCTGACCAAGTGGAGTCTCATTTACCTAAATATAAATTGAATTAGACTTAACATTATTTATAAATATTACTGAAGAACGTGCGTCACATTGAAACCCCCCCGAAGTACTCGAGTTCGATGTCTTAGAATTATACAAATAACGCCTCGATCCGCCTAATGCAGACATCTGTAGCTGCATAGGACGCTTTTGAGAGTAAAGGTGTTAAACTCAGTGTAATTATTAATGTTTGATTAATTTCGGTCTCTTTGACTTTGCTCTGCTCATTTAGGTGTAACTTGGATAAGCCCGACAAAGGCAAGCTGGTCTGGAAAAATTTATTTTGTGCGTTTGGCTTCGTCAGGTTGTGCGATGCTCGCTATACTTACCTATAGTAATTAACTCCTGTCAATAACAACGCGAGCCGGCGCTTGAAGCGGCTCCGTTGTGGCCGCTATGTAAAAGAATGGCACAGATTCGATGGAGCAAAGAAAGCGACACCCAGTTGTCGTTTCGGCTACGAGCACCTTAACCGCGTCCAACAGAGCTACGTCAGAAGTCAAGTGATGAGGTAGGACGCGCCCTGCAGCAGGTGTCTCGTCGTGTCGCTAGCTGGCGCGTCGATGCATTCTGCCACGCGATCCCGTGGTCTGCATACTTTTGATCGCACCTGTACGTACAAGGGATGGACACACTCTAAAAAATATCGAGTAAAAAGGGTGTCTATTTGTCCCACAACAATTACCGTCATCAGGCTTGCGTGCGCTTCCTTTCTTGAAAACTCGGCGCTGGCCACTTTCCTATCGAGAATGCAATGTAACCCTGATAATGGGCATGTCGATCGTGACTGGAATGTACCGGGCGCGGGGCGATAGCGCAAGGATGGAACGCAATATAGATGACGATTATTGTTGTAGGACGAAAAGACACTTTTTACTCGCTCTTTTTTTAGAGAGCATACCCGCGGCATTAACAGCTTCGCCCCTAAAGAAAACATGGATCGCGCTATATGTGCCACTTCCCGTCTAAAGAAACGCGCAGCCTTGGTCCTGCACAGTCAAGCTGTAATCGCTCTAATCGGAACAGTTATCCGGCCGTGAACAGTTGACCGTGAGATATGAATCGTGATAGCGACGTCCAATCAGGAAATCCTTGCAAAACTGCGACACATGTTGTTGGCACCCGACGTCCAATCAGGAAATCCTTGCAAAACTGCGACACATGTTGTTGGCACCCGACCTGTTGCAAAACGCTGTTTCTGGCAACGGAAAAGAGGCAAAGCGGTTGCTTCCAGTGAGATTATTTGAGGGCGCTGCTTTGTATTGCAGGTGTGAGCGTAGTCACGCGTTATTTTTCATATTTCGAGGGCTTTCTTTATACAGAAAAAGAAATGAGCATGCTATTAATACGGTGTCCGAAGCAGCACCGACAGATGTCATTTCAACATGTGCACATGTACTTTATCGACATTTTGATAATTGGGCAAGTATTTTTAGTTTATAATATAATTAGAATAATTAGCAAGAGACATCAGTGAAAAAGTTAGTAGCCGCTACTTCAGTATAAAGGGAACGATACGCACTACATTTTCTTTGCATAAGGTTGTTACTTTTTTTATTCTGCTGTGTGATAAGTGGGACGCCCTGTATAAAAAAATGAGTGGCCTTTAACCTTGCACGTAAAGGAGGCGGGTTATTAGAGTACGGGAATACACAGGTGAAAGTACCACAAAAGGAAGGCGTGACCGGAAAGGGCACCATCTACATATCTGTTGTTTTAGCATATTAAGTATTGCAGTAAGCATCTACCAGTCAGCCAAGCAGCATATAAGTATTTCTATTGGGATAAACTCAATAGGGATAAACCCTATTGGGATAAACCCTATTGGGATAAACCCAACCAGGCTACGAAAAGCATCCACGTGACATTTTCCAGTGACACGATTACAATGCCAGGGATGACATAATGCCACGGTCAGCTGTGTGGTTGTGAACAAGACACAGGCACTAGTCGCAAGTAACTTCCCATCGTCCGCCCACGTCTTATGCCGCGTAACTGAACTCTCAATATTTTATACAATATATTTAATCATCCCCTATTGCTTGATGAGCCTGTTTCAGTCAATGCCAGATGAGGTTAACTACATTAAATGGCTGTTAACCTTGAAAGTGAAGAACAACCCTGAAAGAAGAGCAACTGGTTGCCTCGAACTCCGTCGCCATGTCGTTAAGCCGATATTTTGTATTCAAACACTGTCGCACTCCCGACAAAGGCCACAGGCTTTACAATCCCCAGGTTAGAATGAGTCTCACAGCTGCCTTGAGTAAGCCAACGCCATCTTTATTGTTTTCCTTTCTTGTTTTGTTTTATTTATATCTTGGTTGCCATGAATACGTACTCGCGGAACGGCCGTTGCCAAGTTGTACGGTATAGAGACAATTCTTGCCAAAGAGAGAGATAGAAAGAAATCGCTCTTCATACAGGCCGCTATGTCCAAGATGGCAATAGCGTTGTTCTGTGTGTATATTGTTCGTCACTTTCATAAAAACTTCGCCTCTCACTGCAAGTGAATTCTATATAAAGTCACTGCTTGCGCTATGCTTTTGAAACTTCATTGTAAATTTTGTTGGTGAGTGTCATCTGATTTTATTCGTTGAAATAGAAAAAACAATAAAAACTGAAAAAAATCACATGACCGGAAGAATATCAACACACCGTGACCGTTAAAAAACATTGTTTCGAAGAGCTCTGCCACTAAATTCCATATGCAAGGTCGTATTAATGAAGGTCAAGAAGCTTTACCTAACGTGGGATATCGAAGCACAGAAACAACGTGCTCGGTTTTATAAAACGCGACATGACGACGACTTTTTGTTGCATAGATTTATATCAATCGCGCAGCTGCATAAATAAGGGCGCAGTCACGACGTTCGTGTACTTTGAGTAGCCATCGGAAGTTGCCTCGAAGGCAAGCAGATATTGCAACAGCCGATCAAGCAGATAAATTTCAAAGACGAAGAACTTAACCACGATGATTACAAAGAGATATGAGTTGTGCAACGAGGCAGTTATTGCAGTTCGTGGCCACGTGAGCTTCTCCTCTCTGCCTCTGTAGCTCTGAGAAGGTCAAAAGAGGGAGAGAGCGAGAGGTGCTTAGTTTTGTGTCCTCTAAATCCTTGAATGCTTCGTTTCTGCCTGCCTACTTGGGTTTTCACAAAGCCAAGGCACAGTAATACAACCTATCTTACATCTTATATTAGACAGAAGACAAGCTAGCTGGGCAAGTTGGCACGCATTACAAGAAAAGTTGAGAGTAATCTTTTGTCCGTTTTTCTTGTTTTTTTTTTTTTTCGCGTTACCTTCAACAATCCCCCTGCCTACGCTGCCAGACTTAGCTCTTTGAGCTTTCCTGATCATCGTGATCACTCGAACACAAACTATAGGTTAGAATCTACGTATACTGAACATATTTGTAAGGATACTTGGGCCTTTTTCAGCTACGCCAAGGAGAAGTATCATGCACTGTATCACCTGGGACGTATTTCTGCTATATAAATGTCTTATCATTTATCCCTCATTAATTCTACATAACACGGTACCGAAAGATTCATCGCAGCAACTTGCTAGCGCGCCCAGAGATGGCGATGGTGAAGCTCTATATCCAAGCTATCTCAACTGCATTGGTCGAGCCGTTTTACGTTTTAAAGATCGAGTGGTGCACCAAGATTTCATAAGATTCGTGAGTCGTTAGTCGAAGGAATGAAACCAGCTATCATACGATTCACCACGTTAATCTCAGTAACTGGGCAGACTCTGTACACTTGTTTCACACACACAAACCCTCTTTTCTTAGGCGCGCAATCCAATTTAAGGAATTGTGCTTCTTGCCCCAATTCTCCTGCATCCGTATAGCTAAAACGCAGACCGAAACCACAAGACGATGAACTGTGCTACCAGTTCGAAAAATTGGCCATCGTGAAATCTTGAATTTGATAGGCAGGGTCATTTTTTATTGAGTCAGTAGGAGCGTAGTATTCGAGAACACTAAGATTGTGAAATTACATACAAGCTAGGTTGGTAAGCAGTGTACCTCTCCTTAAAAAAAAAAAGAAGAAAGAAACCATTGGTGTGTAGCCCTTCTGAACTACTTAATGTTTGTGTGTAGACGTGTAGAAAGTCAAAGTATATCGGTATATCGTACTATAACGAGCCACATCTTGAATGTGGTCATCTGTATGTGTCACTGCAGGCGGCACAAGATGCTTTCAGCAGACGTCAGCGCCAGTCAATGAAAAACGCTTCAATATGCTATAATGCAAGAACTGCTGTACTGTACTACATTGTTTTCATGTTCACCTCTGCTTATTTGTACATCAACATTAAGTGAGGATTCCCACTGACCTCCTGCCTTCTAGTTATGAGTTACAACGCGCAATGATCAAATCAGACATAATGGTCAGAATTCATGGGGTGCGCGCACGGAAGGCGAAGACTCAGCGAATAACAGCATGCCACAAGCGTTCTGATTGGTGTGTTCGTCTTACGTGTGTGCTCCCAGTAAATTATGGATCCATACCAGCCAGTCCAGTTTTTCCGCTTTGCTTTAAGACATAAGGTGCTTTCCAGTGCGTGCCATAACGACATTCGTCCTGCAGCCCAACTTCAAAAGCACAGCAGGTATTTAGGCTTAACGTCGATACGCGCTGTGTGGCACACGAGTCCCACGACAGAAAAACAAAGTGGAATATTTGTCAGTGGTACTGTATTGTCTTCATGCTTACCTTGACTTGTTTAAAGACAGGTATAAAGTTACGACACCCAATGAATAAACACGATAGCTGCTCAGCTCTAAAACATTTTTATTATGTTCGAACATACATATCACAAATACTGAAAGACTGATATATTTAAACACACGAGATAATTAAAAACAGCCTCTCGTGTGCAAAATCGTAGACGTTCTTCAAATCGTACATTAAACAAAATGCCCAGACTCTGTTAACACTGCTTGAAACACCAGAATTGTGTTTTTTTTTACCATTACTGTGAGTACAAAGAATTCTCTACGTTGTTGAAATTCTTGAATAAAAAGCCAAATTCTTGCTCATAAGGTGCCGACAACTAGTTTCGTGACCCATAGACAGCCTGCACGGGAGCCGAGCTTTACACAAAGCTCAGTACATAAGCAACGCTCTATTTACAGCACAAAGTATTTCATCCCTGACCCCCGACTCAGTACGCATGTCGCACGTCTCCGTGATGTTAGTCAAGCCAATCAAAGAACGCTGCAAGTCGACCCACGTACTACAGTTACCAGCAACCCTTCGGTGCCATAGCGACTTATTGCAGCGCGCATGACAACGTGTATACGCGAGCACTTCCGGGACTCCCATTGCCGTGAACGATATTCACATTCAGTCTGCTTCCGCTACCCAAGCTCTTTCTCGACCGAAAGGCGAGCGATGGTGACTGGGTAAGCACCGCACGCGTGGCTTCAAGCCTTGGAAGCTCCACCTTTCGGAGCGGAAGCCTTTGGAGCGTTTCTCGCTATCTCGGCCTCGAGAGGCTTGAAGACGGTGCGCGCGAAGTTGAAGGCGTCCACGGCCGACTTGGCGATGCTGTCCTTGTTCTCCTGGGCCCAGCTCTGGAACCGCGTGGCGGCCGTGTTGTAGCTGACGGGAAACCTGTCCGACGCGTATTGAACCTGTCCGCCTGCGATTCGAAAAGAGCACTTTTAGTCCACATAAATCAACTTGGATTACTCACTAAAGGCTTCTTCATAGGCGTGTGCAAAGGGGGCAACCCGCCTTTTCCCTAACCATCTGAAGGAGGCGCGAAGTCTGCCCAATAGGTTTGCTCTGACAGACCTGTCCCTTCGTTGTTTAATCAGTGTATGGTATATGGCCATGCGGGATGCTGATCATAACGCCGGGTGAGGACCACTGATGTAGCATTCCAAGAGTTGTTTGCTTCCAATCTTAGGCCCGGAAAGGCGGGAATCAAAGACAGGGCGTTGGATGCTCGTCATCACTTCATTTGAATTTTCACTGCAGAGCTTCTTTTGAACTCGATCAAAGGGAAAAGGGAGGGCGGGGGGGGGGGGGGTCGTTCTTAATGGGGAACCCTGCGCGCGCCTATGGCCCGATGTAAACATTAATATGTCCGTTCTCTTTTGGTTGTTTGAGTACAATTCGTGTCGTAGCCATGTTTTTGAAGCTGAACATTCCGAGACAATTGCCTGTTATGTTGTGTTAATTAGGGTCTTTCAAAGAATTCCCCCCCCCCCCTACCAAAAAAAAAAGTGCGCTTACTTCGTATTCACCCCTGTCCTCTTTCCTCTCCTCGCCACCTCGATTGTTAAATACGATTAAATGTCACGCCTCGCTATTTCCGCCAAAGCTTCTCCTGAAATTGTAAACGGGCTTGTTGCAAAAGGACGGTAGAATAAACCCATTTCTTAGTTAAAGACGTTCGAACGTCCTAATCTGCCACGCGTCGCGTGAGATTGTACATTCATTTTATAAATCATTAGCCTTCTCGCAATGTGAGCTGTCAGCACATTGGTTGTCACCAAGCTTATTGATGATTCCTAAGAAGGGAGAAGTCATTGCTTTAAAAGATGGAAGAGCACTTTTAGCACCTGTGAACAAACAAGCACGCGATAATTGTGCGTCAGTGTGTCTTTACTTGTTTTTTGCTTCACTCACTGGCAGTCTTGATGGCGTCAAATAAGCCACCGGTCTCTTGTACCGTCGGAGCCGGCTTGGACGAGCCTCCCGAAGGCCTGGACGAGCCCCCCTTAGGCGGTGGTGCTGCCCTCACAACCGAGCACACGACCAGCAGCACCACGAGTAGGATAGCCAGGCTCCACGAACGAAGCATCGCTTCTGCACAGCGTATACAAGATTATGTCGAAGCTGTGCTGATTCAGTGCAAGCAAGCTTTCTTCTATATATAGAAATTGAGAAGAAGGTGGAGGCTCGCAGTGCTGAGAAATTATTGAAAATAAAAGTGCCGCAGGAGCCGAAGTTTCGACAAGCGGACACGTAAGGGCTCTGACCACATAAACGCAGGAACAGAGCATCAATCGTGTAGAGTAGCAAGCTTGGCTGACATTGGCACGTGGCATTACATTACTTCTCATGTCATTACAATAAAGAACGCTGCATCTCCGCAACTCATTCAATGACAATACGTCTCATGACCAACATGTTAGCCAGGCCAAGATATTCGGCATATAAGTAAAATCTGTATGTCCCTCTGTTTCGTTATGTTGGGATCTCCCCTAAACATCAGTTGCTGTAGACATATCTGGGTGGATACTACCTGGGTCATTGAGTTTATCTCGGCTACACAGCCTATCTGTAGCATATCTGTAGCAATGTAATATATTGAGACATGAAATAAAGGCAGTGAGGGAAATAGAGATAACTCCTCAACGCAGAATCCTTCTTTCCGTATGTAAAAATTAATGACGTTACACTTCGTAGATTTTATCTCAGACTAAAACTACAAATTTAAACCTCAGTTGGTCGCACCAATTACCGGCGAAATAGTCCTTCACGTACTCAGTGGATGGTGGATCCGGGTGTAGTACAGTTTGATTTGCTTCCACAGAACATATAGTTAGTACGCCATTTTCTACGTAACTGAGACAGGGTCACTCTTTAGTGCCTTTCCACTTCAGGAACAAGGCTAACGTGTATTTAAAACATAATATCGCCATGGCAGTTGTCCACAGCTGAAGCAGCAAATGCTGTCTATGATGGCTGTGGTAGTTTATTGATAAATTTACGTGGTTGCCACTTTGATTTATGACTGCGCCCATCAGAGCAAGGAAGAGCTGAGGTTTCACGTGTAAATGGACAAAGATGAAGGCAATCAATAATAAGCTGAAGCCCTAGCGACCTGACCGGCACACTCTGCCACGCGTACATGATTCACATTGAATATATGCATGACTTCTCTCTTTTGGGCGTCACGACTTACTGACGAGAATCTGACTGTCACATCCAAGTTCTGCTTACTGCCTGCTTCAACCTACCTTCAACCTGCCTCAACCTTACTTCAACCTTTCTTACTTCAACCTGCCTCGTTTTAGTCGCCTTAATATTTTGCTGATTGGGAGAATGCTGATAAGAAGAGTGCTATGCTTATTCATAGAAGCACGCGCAATGTCATGTTTTAACTAGAGCTGAATATGTAAACTGACATGTTAAAAGTGTGATAATGTGGGCCTTCAGTGTGACAGACAAGTCCTAGGTACATCTGTATAATCAACTATACGTCGCTCCGGTTTTATTAAGGGGCAGCTTTTATGGGAGTTGCTATCACTTGGTGTTTCGTGCGTGTGGCCTCTTGCCGGTGGTGACATGTGACACTAAAAAAACACTTTCATCAAATAAAGCTCAGTTATTTGTTCCGCGCTGGTCCTGTTGTACTGCGTCTTTCATCCCGTCCTTCTTGATGATTTATTTCGCAAAGTTTGCATCAACTTTCTCTGACAGAAGCACTGGTAATTCAAGAAATGTTCACTTGTCTCTTTAAAGAGAGTCATGCACGTGGTAAGTCAGGGCTCACAAAAAAAATTGTTTTTTTGTTTATAATATCCAGGATAGTGAACGTATGACTTTCCAGGGCTCACTCCTGGCTTGTCAGCGTCCTCAGTCTTATAAACTGCAAAAGTAGTTCCTCTATTTCAATTTGATATTGTGTAGCTGTGGGAGCCAATTAGGCTTTCTTAATTAAATCCTCGATGCCATGGTTGAGGCGAGCTTCTTTCAATATAGTTGTCTCTAACGGGAACTGTGTCTCAGAGCACTGAGGTACAGAAGGGGCGTGCAGGAAACTGAGATCTTGGACATTTAGCGAGTGCGGATCGCGTATTAGTTCAATGTATTTTGAGCCACGCGTACTGCACCAATGATCATTCACCGTGTTGCGCGGTATCATCTGCAAACCCAGCTGTAGAACCGTTGACTAGATTCCTGTCGGTTTTTTTTTTTATTCGCTAGCAGGAACAATTCAGAAATTCTGCCAGTTTAAATTGACAACAAAAAAATTAACTCGAACTCACCATAGATTGGCAAGAGCTTTTTTTTTAAATCTTCCGTCTTTCAAAATGAAGTAACGCATTTGTTAGTCGAATGAGAAAACACGAGCTGGATGTTTTTTTTTTTTAATTTTGTATCGGTATTCTTGCTATTGCACATCAATCTAACGAAGCGGATACTATTACTCGTACTTGGGTAGCTCTGACTCAGTAATAAATCCTGAAACTTGTAAAGTTCATTTCTTGACTTCCTGAGGTCAACATGTTCTTGATAAACACTCAATTGGTAAACTACGAAAGGTGCTGTCTACACCTCTGATGACGGTGCCCATTGTCAACACACGGTCCGATACCATTTATAGGTGCCGATTAGGACGTTAAATGCCGGTCACTTCATTGATCAATTACGCATGCGGCAAAAGGACAGTGGCGTAGCCATGGGGTGGCACTCCTGGAATGGCATTGGACACAGCACAAAATGTCAGCCAACCATGCTTGCTTGCCTTGCTTCCACTTCATTCAAATTGAGAACGTGGCTACACTTAAACAAATTTTGGCACAAAAATTGTATCAGAAACCTTTCCTCACACTGGCATCTCAAATTTATCCTATTGATCTTTTCTTTTTTGCATGCCATACATGCCATAGACACACCTTTTCCATAACCTAAATACCTTAACTAGGTCTTTCAGCCAAGCAGAGCTTGCCAAAAAACAATTTGGCTACATGCTGAAAAGATTGATGTAACACTAGTAAGACAGAACCTTAACAAACTGGGCATCTTTCAGCTAAACAGGTCGTATATTACCTAGGCAGTTACCAACCTTCATGGTGGGGAGGCCAAATTGAAGCAGTACCGTAAGTTCTAATAACCAACCTGGCAAAGATTTACACATTAGATTCAGCCTCTACACGGAGAGTACGTTTATATTTTCAAAAACTTGGTAATTCGAAATGGCAACTATAGCCGAGCTTCAAACAAAATGTTTCGAAGATCAAATTGCTACCCGCGAACGTACGTACCTTAAAGGCGCGAGTGTCTCTAAATGAAACACGCTTCGTTCAGCGCTGAATGTGCGAGGTGTTGAAAGGGTCTCCCGCTTAGCTGCCTCTCGGTTACATACTGCGAGGCGTGGGTTTTGTGCCGTCGACCCTCTCACCGACGTCCCTGTGACGTAACAGTCTCTGGAGCGTGGTGTGCCCTCTCCAAGCTTCTATATGTGCGGCCTAGTTTACCCTGAAGCCCGTGAATCAGTGTATGTGCTCTCGCAAATATCGCATGGTCAGACGAGAAAAAGAAAAAATAACTGTGGGAGGCATCTTTAGTGGGAAATTTGATAAGGCTCTCCCCAGCTTATGCTTTAGAGCACAATTGTGGCGTGACAAAAGTGCATGGAAAGAGTGTCGAATTGGCACGGGAAGGTTGTGTCACCTTGTATTGGTAGGTTACTTATCAAAGCTTCATCTTCATTGAAATTAACCCTGTACAAAACATTAATACGACCTAAACTAAATATGCTTCTTTGATTTGGGATCCCAGTCACATTAATTTAATTACATCGCTTGAGCTAGTTCAGAATAATTCCACACGCTTCATATTATCAAACTACAATCGCACCGCCAGTATATCTGCGATGAAAAATAATCTGTCCCTGCCTACCCTGTCACTTCGAAGAAAAGTTTCCCGCCTATCAACTTTTCATAAACTGTATCCCCACCCCATCTTGCGCGACGAACTTATTTTGCAACCCCAGTATTTTTCCAACCGTGTCGATCACCGTCACAAGGTTGGACTTATCACCTATCGTACTAACACAGCTGCGCAGTCGTTCCTGCCTCGTTCTTCTCGCGAGTGGAACCACCTTCCCCTGAAATTGTTGCTATTAATGACAACCATCTTTTCCGTGATACCGTAGCTAACATTGTATACGCAGGACCTATTTAATGCATTTTTTGTTTGTACGCTGACTTTTGCTTATAGTCGTACTAACGCTGTATTTTTCCCTCCCCACCATGTACCATTTGTTATTCAATGTGATGCACTCCCCTCTGTAATGCCATTTTGGCCCTGAGGGTATTATAAATAAATAAATAAATTGTATGTATACTGAAGCAAAGTTCATCTTTTAAGTTTTTTGTCGTTTTTATTTCTGTCACTTTTTTCAAATAACAAAAATAAAAAAAACGTGTGAAAAAGATGTCATTCTGCCAGGGTAGGGAGGATAATGTTTACTATTCGCTGAGCAAGTCGAGTTTGATCACCCTTTCGTGCTTTATCTCTTTATATGTACATCATAAAGCAACAAACCTTTTGATACGGCAAGGAAAACTGCGTGATTGTACTGAAAGTTTGCATGTGGGTACTGAGTTCATGGCTACGATTGACTATAATAACGAAGAAAAAATAACACCAAGCTTTAATTATGGTAGAGTGTAATGCTATCTTTAAATAGTTCGTTGAGGCATCAGCCGATATATTCCTTAGCTTTTGTTTTTCTTTTTATTACGAGAGCGCTAGTAAATTTTTCCATAGTCATTGCTCATTTAGCCTACACAGACGCCGGCATGCCTGATAGGTTTGCATTTGTAACGACACCTAATATTTCACCGCATCGGTGTGTGTGTGTGTGTGTGTGTGTGTGTGTGTGTGTGTGTGTGTGTGTGTGTGTGTGTGTGTGTGTGTGTGTGTGTGTGTGTGTGTGTGTGTGTGTGTGTGTGTGTGTGTGTGTGTGTGTGTTCCTATTTTTCTTTTGCTTCTATCTATCTCTCCAGACTAAAAAGTAACAAGATAATATATTAATATGCAAAGCAAAATTGCTGAGTAACTGTTGAAGCAAAGTGGTGGACTTTCTAAAAACTTCTTGGCTTTCCTGCTGTTTTTTTTTTCTCGTTCTTCTTGCTTACAAGAAACAATCACCACATATACATTTTAATGCCGTGAAATGCGTCATCAGTCATTTGACAGAATCAACTTTGCGGCGTCTCTCATGATCATATCATAATTATCATAACTTTAAACAAGCACCAGCCAGCCTGAAAGAACCCCTCTGTATCTCGAATGTACGCCTGCTTTTGGAGTACGCGTGTAGCACTTGGGACACTTTTACTAAAGGGAACATCGACGCTCTAGAGCATGTGCAGCTGAGAGCGGCCCGTTTCATCACATGTGATTACGACTTTTGTAAAATATGTTTAGAAATAAGGAATACTTTAGGATGGCCCCTTCTTGAAGACAGACGCAAGTTCTTGAGTTTATCTCTGTTTCACAAAATATTCCATAGTTTAACTGGTATTCACAAAGAAAAATACATATTGAAGCCTACGTATATATCTGCTCGCACTGATACCCCACTTAAAGTGCGTGAGTTCCCTGCCAAAATTGACATTTTAAATATTCATTTTTTTCCGCGATCCATACAGCCGTGGAACAAACTACCACAAGAAATTGTAACCGCGTCCACGAAAATATTCAGCGTCGCGCTTCAAGATCACATTTTTTTCGTAGCCTGAATATATCTTCGTTTGTTCCTTTTAGCAGTGTACGCTTGAATTTCTTTTTGTTTTTTACCTCTTGGTGATCTTTTTGCAAGCTCTCCCTGTATTTAAGTGTGTGTATATAAGTGTTTATTATATTTAAACATATCTTGCTCTGTATATTATATTTACGTGTCACCATTGCAGGATTTACTATGTAGCTTTATTTCTTTTATGTACACCACAGTGTTAATGGCTTCGACATTCTGCTTTATTTTTTTTTCTCTTTATTGTTCTGAAATATATTACATTTATGAACATGTTTTTTTTCTGAAATTATGTATATAAATGTCATCTCCCCCCTACATTAATGCCCCACGCGGGTGCTATAGGTATTGTAAATAAATAAATAAATAAATAAATATTGGGGTTTTGGGACGTTAAACCCGAACCGGTATTAGAATCAGCTCTGCAGCCCCGCAGCGGAGGTCTAGTGGCTAAAGTACTCGGCTACTGGCCCGCAGGTCGCGGGTTCGAATCCCGGCTGCGGCGGCTGCATTTCCGATGGAGGCGGAAATGGTGTAGGCCCGTGTGCTCAGATTTGGGTGCACGTTAAAGAACCCCAGGTGGTCGAAATTTCCGGAGCCCTCCACTACGGTGTCTCTCATAATCATATTGTGGTTTTGGGACGTTAAACCCCACATATCAATCAGAATCAGCTCTGCAATTAAATAGGGGATGCAATGCCACAGTTGCTTTCTTAGTGTGCGAGTAGTGGCATTAGTCGAGTGCAATTACATGATATTCCTAATTATATCTGCCACTTTGGTTTTATGTGTAGATTATCCACATACATCTGTATTTCCATGAACCTGTGGCAGCATTTATTGCTTGGGAGGACACTTACATTAAGCTGGATTCCCATTTCCAACTTCCACAGAGAACCTAAGGCTAGGGAGTTTATAAGTCGATAAGCTAAAGGAGGAGCCCTTTATTGTGCTGGCTCTTCATTATGATGCCGTAGTAAACTCTAACTACCTCACTTCGATACACCCATATCATATCTGGTAGGCGAGAAGTAGGCGTGGTGAGCTTTTGTGCTTTCGAACTTGCTTGCTCCTCCCGGGCGCAATATTGCAAGATATGTGCCATCACTTTCATCATCATCATCATCATTTGACTGACTACGCCCATTACAGCGCAAAGGCCTCTTCCATGTTCCGCCAATTAATCAGGTCTTGATACTGCCACGTTATACCCTCGAACTTATTTATCTCATCTGCCACCTTTCTGTCTTCCTCCCGCCCGATGGCCTTCTTTTGGAACCCAGTTAATTACTCTTAATGACCATCGGTTATCTTGCCTACGTGCTACATGTGTCTATTCCTTTTTCTTGATTTCGACCAAGATGTCCTAACACCCGTTTGTTCCCTGACCCACTCTGCTCTCTTCCTGTCCCTTGAGGTCACGCATATCATTTTCTTTTCCGTTGACTCGGCCCACACACAGCCAGTCACAGTCCGTCACTGTAGCGTGGTACGCGGCACTAATGTCACATACGCTTGTCCAAGTCCATTTTTCTTCAATGTCTTCGTCGTTTTCAGCGGCAATGTGAGGCGTAAGCCTAGATTCAGCAGGCATTTGTCGCACACCTCCCTCTCATTTTCATCCATTGATCTACCTCACCCTGTTTTCACGTAGAGGATAGTATATCGGTTGTCCTAAACTACTTAACCTCCTTGCCTTTCCTTCTCTACTATTTTCTTCTCTTCTTATTTTTCATTGTTCCCTGTGTCGTTCTCAATTAAAGTTGAACCCTCTTTGTAAGCCTGCAGGTTTATGTCAGGTTCTGCCACTTTGGTACTGGATAATTCATTCAACCAGTATCACAATTACGTACGGGACGTTGCTACACCACCAATTATTTTAATCTGCGCTTTACGTTTCCTATCAATCTTTTGAAACGAGTCACGGGGGCTTAAGCAATCTACTTACAGTTCCTTAATTGTCGCCAGACCGAAATAATACAATAGCAGTCAGTTTATAACCTACAACTATTACTGTTATCAACTGACCACGTCATGTAAGTGAGCACTGAAAAGTTTTATGCGTATGTGCGTTATTGTCGCTTACAAAAAGTTTCTATATCCGTTCTTGTGTCTCTTTCAGTGATGTCTTATATTGTAGTTTCTTCACTCAGCTTGAAGACGGGCTCCAAACTATTCATTTGTGTCAGCCACCTGAGGTGAATAATTGAAAATATTGTTAAGAAAGTATCGTTAATCGAGCTCTAGATTGTGAAAATCTCTGTGTATTTATAGAGACCACCAAGCTGCAGACACCAATGGCAACAATATTATCAGTATTATTAACAAAAGACCCATTTTAATGATTTGGCCAAAAAAGAACAGTTTACAAAGACATCTCGAGGTATTTTGAGAAAACGTTCTTATTGGCGGCCTAGTCTCCTAAAAGTAGCATAGAAGATTTCACTTAAGACATATGGGCTCTGCAACTGTGGGCTCGTAAACAAATGTTTCCTCATTGCTTTACAGTGTGACGTATGAATCATTAATGTCATAAAACATTGAATGCGCCAAGCAAAGCATATTCATACGTATGCGCCTATCGTAGCACTGTTCGTCAAGTCGTTAAAGAACA